ATGATGATAATGTTAATAATAGGCACCAGGTATGGAGTGCTTATTATGTGCTGGGCATTGAATTCTCTACTTTATATGTATATCTCATTTAATTCTCTCAATTATCCCATGAAGAAGGGACTATTATTACTTTTGTTATTCATATAAATACTGAATCATAGAGCTCTGAAGTAACTTGCTCAAGGTCACACAGCCAGAAACTGGTGGAGGCCCTGGCTATATGCAAGGACTCCAGAAAGTCAGCTGAGAGAAGCTGATGCATCTGTCCATAGATCAGAACCAGCAAGCCAATGAAGGGCCATGAGTATGGTAAAGAAGATTTCAGAGGTCTGTGCTTATTTGTGTGTCTCATTCCTAGAGCTATGACTACTAAAGTGTTTATTCCATCTCATTATGCTGCTGATGTTTCCCACATTTTCTCTGTTTTAGGTCATGTCTTTACCCTAAAGGGAGTGATGAAGTTTCTAGATATTGGTGTGTGTTGGGGGGCGGGGGAAGAGATAACAATAGCCTTGGTTTTTGTCAAATAAGTGGGGCAGAGTAGAAGGCTGTCTGCAGGTGTAATAATATGGGTCACCAAGCATTTCTGTCAGTAGCCTGTCATGGGGCTTCAGATTCCCTATGAGGAGTTGAAGGTGTCTAGACATTCCTGTTTAGAAGACAAACATCTTTATAAAGATGGTTATGAACTCAAATGCCTCCAGGGGCTAGACAGGTGATTCACTTTTGAAGGGGTCAGAGTAAGACAATAAGGTGAGTTGGTTTCTTTGGCATCCTGAGAGTTGCTTGCCCTGCCCACAAGCATTTAAAACATGGTGTGGCCAATAGTCTATGGGCCACTAGTTTGTAAATCCTATAAGGGGTAACATAATTTTTCCCCCTCTTTATTATCAAAGGTTATGGTATACTACGTGAGAAATACAAACTACAGAAAAGGATAAATAAGTAAATATAATCATCAGTATTCTCCCATAAGTACTATTGATATTTTGGCATATTTCCTCCCAGTTTTTTTTTTCTACCTGAGTGCAAATATATGCATTAATGGGGTCTGCACTAAGGAAAGACATTGGAATTTCAGTTAATAAATACCTGCAATAAAAATAGGGATATTACTAGATCATGTCACAGACTGGGAATTAGCTACAAGTAAGGCCCTGGGAGGATGTAACCTGGAGAGACTGGCAGAAATAGCAGAATATAGTGGGGTGAACTGGAGGTGAGGACAAGGATGAATCCCTATTGTTCATGGTTTTGCCAAAGAAAAACTGGACAGAAAAGATATACAGCTGAAGGTCACAGGGAGAGGCTAGTGGAGCAAGGGGGCACTGAGGAAGCAGGGAGGGTGACTCTGAGGTAGAGAAGGGGTAGGGGTGAGGTGTTAAAATGAAAGACCCTCAGAACTCCAGCCCCCTCCTTCAAACAGTTTAAAATACCTCAATGTTCTCAGGAAATTAAAAATAAAAAATTAAGTAGCAGGAACTTTTCTTCCAAGAAAATCTTAGGTGGAAGCCTTTATGTAAACAGACTAAAGTAGAGCTGATCTTTTTTGAAGACGGCTGGGGACTAGGACCTCTTCTCACCCCTGAGCCCTGAGCTCATCCAGAACAGAGTTTGAAAAATCACATTTTATACTTTTTTTTGCCCTTGCTCTGAGAAGCAGTGTTTTCCTCTCAAATATTCTAGAACTCCTCAAAGTTGCTGATCTCAGTGACCCCTATTTTATTCTTTGACTGCCTCCAAGTTTGTTCATCCTTAGTTTGATGTATTTTCTCTTGTCGGATTTTATATACATATTGACTTTTGCAAAACTCCCTGATCCATTCTCAGAGAAAGATTGACTGATACAGGGTTGCGGGAGCAAGGTGGGGGAGAATTTAGCAGTTTCTGGTGTTAGTAAACCAGGGCTTTGAACCAGTTCCTTACTGAGAATTTGCACTCTAACAAGTTTCCTGCAGAGAATTTGCATTTCTAACAAGTCCCCAGGAAGTTATACATAAGAATCACCTACCTAGAGGATCTTGTTAAACTGTAGATTCTGATTCAGTATATCTGGGGTGGAAATGCAAATTTTCAGCAGGGAACCTGTTAGAAATGCAAATTCTCAGCAGAGGTGGGAGGTTCCAGGCCCTGTAGTAAACACGACAGTTTGTTGGGGATTAACAGGAAATGAGTAAAATCATTGGGATTTGATAAAGGATTTTTCTCTCAATTTAATGATTTTTTTCCATACCCCCAGCCCCAAAAAAGAAGTAGATGAAGGTCATTAGGGTAACACGTTAATAGTCTCTTTCCATTAAACTGGATGAAAAACAAAAACCTTTAACCTCATTCTGCCCACAGAGGCCTCTGTGCATTGCATTTGCCATTTTGGCATCTTTTCAGCAGGCAGTACTTTCCTTTAAGACCTCATACTTAATCCTCAATTTTATTCTAAACATATGATATTGAATAGGCTGGAACCTCATTTAGGCAGTAAAGAACCTTAGTGCTTTGTGGCTGGGACCATCCAAGGAGAGAAATATTTTCGATACAAAGAATAATTCATTAAAGGAGGTAATGAAGGTGATTTAAACTTTCCACAAACACATCACTGAGTGAATAAAGCTCATCACTCTCAGTTCAGGGTCATGGATGAATGAAATGCTGTAAAAAAAAAAAAAAAAAAAAACACAAAAAACCAACTGCACAAATAGGCCAAAAATCGCACTGGGGCTCCATCAAGCCTGACAATTTGGATTTTGAAAAACAAGCAGAAAAGAAGAGTCACATTAATATTATGAGAAACCCCTCTGGAATAAAGCATTGAGTTTCCATGTTATTCTTGCACTCGTGTGCATTTACATGGTCTTAGGGAGAAATCTGAGTTTGAGCTGAAATCTTGCTTATCCAATTACAGTTTAAGGAATCTCCCTCATGCAAAATCTGCCAGAAACATATATTGTCTCATAAACTAGAGTGAACAGCCCCAGCTTTGGTTAATGGAGGAATGCAATAGTGAGAGAGGAGAGCTGCTAGATTCGGGCATTTCTGGCTGAGAGTCAGCTGGCTAGAGTTCTGCAATGCACCAGTCCACAGGAGCTGAGATGACCAGACTTACACCAGATAGCTCTGAACTGGTACATGTTTGTCTACCAACCCTGTAGCCCAAGGAGTTTCATCTGAAAGCAGCATATGTGAACTGTTAAGCAGGTATCTTGGACTATTCCTTCCCGTGTTTCCTCTAAGATAATTTAAGCTATATCCTGAGAAAATTAGGAAATCAACCACCTATCCCACAAGATATGGTCTCATGGAAGGTCTCAACCAGAAACATGTAAGTAACACAAGGAAATAGTGGAGTTTAAGAGGTAGACAGTTGCTGTCAAGTTTGTTCCGACTCATGGAAAACTGCTCCATAAGGTTTTCAATGGCTGATTTTTCAGAAGTAGATTGTCAGAACTTGCTTCCAAGGCATCTCTGAGTGGACTTGAACCTTTGACCTTTTGGTTAATCATGAGCACTACCCAGGGATTCCCGAAGAGAGGAAGGGGACCCTAAAAGCCTTCTATCATGACTTCCCATCATATGTAAGAAATCCATGTACCACATCCCTATGAGGTGAACTTGCAACCTTGACCTGAATATTTTCAGTGCTTGGGAGCTCACTACAACATAGAGTCCATTCTGTTGCTGAATAGCTTTGACTGTGAGGACTGCCTTTCCTGGATTGAGCCAAACCCTTATTATCCATGAATTAGTTTCCATTCTCTTTAGAAAAAACACCAAACACCTCTTTTACACATGAAAGCCTTTTGAATAGTATGTCTCATTCAGAGTCCTCTCCTCCCAACCTAAACCTTATAGTTTGTCACCCCAAATGACAACATCCAAGTCCACTGAGGTTCAGGAAAGAAAACTGGAAACTTGCTGAAGGGATGAAGAGAGAGTGGCTGAACTTTTAATGGTGGAGAATATGGTGGGGTCGGGACCAGAGAATATTTTTTTGTCAGACTGTTCATTTCAGTTTTGGATTAGTTAACAGTGGAACTCAAGGCTGTTAAGTCATGGAGAGTGGGACATTAGACCTTACTAATATTATGCTATGAAAGATTTGAACACATCAAAATCAATATTCTCAGAATGCACAGGAATCCCTGAAACGTGGAGACTATCCTGGTGGGGTAAGGGTCAAAGTGTGTGACTTCTTTTGTTTTTACCTTTTAATTTTAAAATAATTTCACATATAACATTGCAAAAAAAAAAAGTTGCAAAAGTAATACAAAGAATTCCTGTATATCTGTAACCCAGATTCTGCAAATATTAACATTTTAAAAGTCATTCTCTCTTCCCCTCCAAACACAATTGTTATTTTTTCTGAATTATTTGAGAATAAGTTACAGGCATTCACATACTTCACTGTAAATTTCCTAGAAGAAAGGATATTCTTTTACATAACCGCAGTTTAATTATCAAAGCCAGAAGTACACATTAATATCATAATTTTAGAAAATCTACAGACCCTATTCAAATTTCACCAGTAGTTTCACTGAAGCCTTTTGTAGCAAAATAAAAAAAAATTTTCTGGTCCAGAATCGAATCCAGAATTATGTATAGCTGTCAGGTCTTTTTAGTCTCATTTAGTCTCAGATCCTCATTTTATTTTTTTTATGATCTGGCATTTTTTAAGAATACAGGTCAGATATATTCTAGAACACCCCTCATTTTTGGCTTGCTTATTTTCCTCAACAATTAGATTCAGGTTATGCATTTTGGCAGGAATATCATAGAAGTGATGCTGTGTCCTTCTCGGTGCGTCGTATCAGGAGGCACATGATGATGACTTGTCCTATTACTGGTTATACTAACTTTGATCACTTGGTTAAGGTTTTCAACTGGAGAGTTATCATTTTTCCCTTTATAATTAACAAGAATTCTATGGGAGTTACTTGGCAACATTGTCAGGCAGTTGTGGCCCTGGAGAGCCTGTGATTGACATTGCCTTTTCCCTTTGATTTCAGAGTCTAACAGCCGCAGGGCAGTGAACAGAGGCTATGTCACCAGCTTGCTCAGGCTGCATCAGGACTGGCACAGCCATGACACAGTCAACACCTATGTGCAGATCCGCCAGGCGCTTCTGCTCTGCCTCAAGCACATTGCCACCATCTGGTCTGGCAGGGAGGCCTTCCTGTCATGCCAGGGCATGGAGATCCTCTTCAGCACCACACAGGTAATCAGTATCAGGTTACTTCTGAAGTTAGATAACATCTGGATAATTCCTAAAGGCTACCCTTCAGGAATCATTCTGAACAGACTAGGGAAACCTCAATACTTTTCTTCCTGATTGCTATGGGCAGATGCTCTAGATTCAAATCCTCATTCATTCATCCATTCATTCACTCAGTGATTCATTCATCTATCCAATATACATTTATTGAGTATATACTACCATAGGTGCAGTGTGGTAAGATGTTGACTCTAAAGCTAGAGTACCTGAATTCAAATCCCAACCTAACACCTACAGCTCTGAAACTTTGGAGAAGCCACCTAACTTCAAGTTTCTTCTTCTGAAAAATGGAAATAATAAAGTCTGGGTTATCATGTGAACTAAATAAGTTCATGTAGAGGTGTCATGTGCCTAGAACAGTGCTTGCCATAACTGAAATGCTTTATGAGTGTGAGCAGTTATTGGAATAACTGGAACTGGATATCTAGTGGTGAATACAACAGACAAGGCCCATAATCTTGTGGGGCAAACAGTCTAGCGGGAGAATCAGATAACAAGTCAGCAAAGAATTCAGTGAAGAAGAAAATTTCATATTATTCTAAGAAATCAATAAAGTAAGAACATAGGTTTACAATGACTGGGGGACCGTGGCAGAAGAAGGTGATGTTTTAGAGAAGTCAGATCCTCTCTGAGCAGGGGACACTGAGCTGAAATCTGAGTGATTGAAGGAAGCTGGTGTTGCCAAGCTTAAGGGGAAGAGCATCTGCACCCCAGTGGAATATGTGGTCTAGGCTTTCCTGGATTGCAACCTAAATAACAAATTTCTTAATTTCACTTGATTAGAGCTAATTTGAACCCCATAATGCGAGGCTACGTACATCCTCTCCACCGATGACATGAACAGCTCCCAAGTATCTATTGCCTGCTCAGCCATCTCCTCGTGGGGCCACATGCATTTTATTCCTGCTTGTATTCCTATTAGTGAGTCTCTGCACTCCCTTTATGAACCTTGTTGCTTCTCTCTGGACACTATCCAATTTCTCTCCACCTGAGTACACCTGAGGTGATGAAGCAGCCAACAAGAATGCTGTTTTTTTAACCATGAGGTCTGTAGACTTTTCCAATTTAAAAAAATAGCCATTTTTTCCCCTTAACAATAACATAATACTGTGCTGCAAACCAGTAACTAATTTTTGTCTGCTATCACCTCTCTGGGTTTCTCTTCATCATTACAGCTTTCAGAGCATCTCAGTCATGAAATAGCTGCATTTTACATTTGATTTTTCTGGAGGAAGCAGTGCTTTGAATTTCCCCACGCTCTGCCATGCTTGGTGAGCTTGTGGTCTCCCAGGTCTCTAATCTCTCCGAGTCCTTGTGACGCACACTCCTGCATTGCTGAAGCCTAGAGCCCCCCAGTCTGGCCTGTGTTCTGCAGCCAGTTCCTCTGCCCTCTACATTATTGGGTGTTAAGTGCTCTGTGCTAAAAAAAAAACAATGAAAAGGGAAATAAAGGAAGAAGATGGTGATCCCAGAGGTACATGCTTATGATCGGAAGTTGTTGTTGTTGGTTGCCGTTGAGTCGGTTCTGACTCATGATGATCTTATGTATAACAGAAGGAAGCGTTGCTTGATGCTGCACCATCTTCACAGCTGTTGGTGTGTTTGAGCCCATTATTTCAGCCGCTGTGTCAATCCATCTCATTTCGCTGACCTTTTATTTTACCAAGCATGATGTCCTTCTCCAGCTATTCGTCCTTCCTGATGTCATGCCCAAAGTCAGTGAGACGAAGTCTTTCCATCCTCGCTTCTAAGGACAATTCTGGCTGTACATCCTCCGAGACTGATTTGTTCGTTCTTCTGGCAGTCCATGGAATATTCATCTTCAAAAAGCAAAGATGATAGGAAGAAGGTGGAGAAAATACTAAGTGAAGTCTGGGCATAAGAAGGGCTGGGAGCCTGTAAGCAGAGTCTTAGAAGCAATTCCTCAGCAGGTCAATGAGAACTTAATTGCTCAATTGAGCAAATTTACAAGATTTCGTCTTGCAGGTACTGTTGGGAATGAAAGCAGGATGCGAGCGCACGTTGTGGCTCATGTTATGACCTCTATTGCTGTTGTAACGAACACTGGCCCAGAAGGGGTCTGTGTAACAGTGCTGAGTAGACAGGAGATGGCATGCTGAGGCTTCCACCTGAACAGTGTGTGTGATGTCAGAATCACATCCCCTTCCTTAGCTTCCCCTTTTGCTTTTAGCCTTTTAAGTAACGTGCTAGCGGATTTCTGTCAGAGGAGGTGCTATCAAGTTTGGGTGCAAGGTCTGACACTGGACATTGCCCAGTTTTTGGAAAATGACCCTTTCAGGTGAAAGATATACCATCCTGGCTTAGAAACGAAAATGGTTCATCACTTTTCCCTGGCAGAAACATAGGTGGTGTTTAATGGCCCTTCAGCACCCGGGATGAGTGCTATGAGCACTGATGCTATTGCAGCTGGGCTGGAGTTGGGGTGCCCGTTGTCCCCCAGACCCCTATACCAGAGCAGGCACATTGGTCACTGGACAGCCGACTTGGGAACCTTGGATCGGGTGATGTTATTTCGGTGACTATTTGGTAGTTACCATAATGATGAAGATGATGATGTAAAGATGACGACGATTATGAAGAAAATAGTTCCTTTGTATTGAGTACTTACTATGTCCCGGATCTGGGTTAGCACTTTACAAATGGTAGGAGTTTCCTGTGGCTACTGTAACAAAGGACCACAAACTAGGTGACTTAAAACAACATATACGTATTGCCTCATGGTTCTGGAGCCCAGAAGTCTGAAATCAAGATGTCAGCAAGGCCATGTTCTCTCAGAAGGCTCTTGGGGGAAGACCCTTCTGTATCTCTTCCAGCTTCTGGTAGCCCTGTGCTCCTTGGTTGGTGGCAGCATAACTCCAGTCTCTGCCTCTGTCTTCACATGATATCTTCCTTGTGTATTTATCTGATTCTGCATTGCTTCAACGTCACCTGGGAACTTGAATGACAAGAAAGAACTAGTGACATGAAGATCTGGAGATGAGAGTTCCAGAGAAAGCAAGAAAAGAAAATGCGAAGGCCCTAAGGTAGGGAGTGGACGCCTGGGTGGTGCAAATGGTTAACATACTTGGCTGCCAGCTGAAAGGTTGGAGGGTCAAGTCCACTCAGAGGCACCTTGGAAGAAAGGCCTGGAAATCTACTTCTGAAAAATCAGTCATTGGAAACCCTATGGAGCACAGTTCTACTCTGACACACATGAGTCAGAGTAGACTCCAATCTATATATATATATATTTTTAGTAGGGGTAGGGTGGGAGATGGAAGGAGCTTGAGAAAGAGAGGCCAATGTGGCAGTAGCATGATGAGAAATGGGGGAGAATGCATGAGCTGAAGCTGGGACATGGGTGGAGACCAGAGCATTTAGAGCCTCCTGAGCCATAATGAGGCATTTGGATTTTATTTCCATCAGATTTTAAGCAAGGGGAGAAGTGAGCTGGAGAGTTAGGGAGGGGCAAATCACATAGAGCTTTCTAGGCCATGGAAGGGAATTTAGATTTTTTTTTTCTGTCAGGTTTGAGGCAATGGAGTGATCTGATATGATTGATGTTTTGAAATGACCCCCCCCCCAACAGCTGCCATTTGGAGAGGAGGTTATCCAAGGGCACTAGTGGAGGGAGGGAGAGTTGAGAGTGTAAGGGGAGGAGCTAAGAGACCTCTTGCAGGAGTGCAGTGGGAGATGCCAATGGCTTTGGCTAGTTAAAAGCAGGAGTGGAACTTAAACCCAAGACTTCTGACTCCTAGTCCGTCTCCTAGTGCACTAGAATGTGTCATTTTGTTATTGTGAGGCTTATGAGTAGGACTCTTCCCTGAGTAGCAGTGGCCTCCCAGGATCTGTTTTCAGATTCTTACGAGATTTTATTAACCTAATGGTGCCTTCTGACATACCTCTTTGTTGTTGTTCTTAGGTGCTGTCAAGTCACTTCTGACTCATAGCGACCCTGTCTACAACCGAACAAAACACTGCCCAGTCCTGCACCATACTCCCACTAAGTCACATTTACTTTGCCTACGTTAGCTCATTTAACTCATACTACAACCTTATGAGATAGGTTCTGTTATTATCTCCGTCTTACAGATGAGGAAACTGAGACACAGAGAGGTGTAGTCTTACCAGAGTTATGTAGTTAATAGCCTTTGGCCCAAGATTTGAATGCAGGTAGTCTGATTACAGGAACTGAGCTGTTTATCATTACTCTGTTTGATAAACAGCCCTGTTACATTGCCTATGTATCATGGAATTACGGTATTTATTATCCCCATTTTAATGCAGAAGTGTAAACTGTGGCAAAGCATTTAATGTTTGAAGCACCCTCATGTTGCATCATCCCTTCCAAGTTGTAGGTGTATTATTGGGATTGGTGGGAAAAGTCAGTCTAAAAATCTCACTTTTGTCCCAAATTTTGAGACATTTGTCCAGAGGGGCCCTAGTCCTTGGAGTCTTGTCATCTTTTGATACACAAGTGCCAACCCTGCATTTGCAGGAGCCTAACAGTGAGCACCTCCTTAAATTTTGTATCCTGGGCACCTCACTTGCCTCACCCTAGTCCTGGCCCTGGTCTGTTTCTCCCAAGGTGGAAGGTCAGAACGTCACCTGTGATCAATCATCACACCTCTCCTCTTCCTTTACACACAGCTTTCTCTTTTTCCGATACTAACACTTTTCACTAGGCACTTGAAGCCATTTGACCAGGGCCAGAGATGAAACAGCCTCAACAAATTCATTTCCACTGAGAGTGTTTCCTGCTTGGCTCTGGGATTATTGGGTCAGGACCCCTGATTGGTACCATTTGATCACACTGAAGGGGAGATAGCATTTTTGGTTGGATTAAGATGTTTCTCTTTTGAAAGTTGGCTTACTTTTCTTTTCACTCTTTATTATTATTTTTTGTTTATTTTTCCTCCTTGGACATATTTTTAATAGAAATTATTTTTTAGAGAACTTTGAGGTTTACAGAAAAATTGCACATCAAATACAGAGAGTTTCTATACAAACCCTCCCCCACTACATAGTTTCTCCTATTATTAATGTTTTGCATTTGTGTGGTACATTTGTTACAATTGATGAACCAATACTGATACATTATTATTAACTAAAGTCCATAGCTGACATTAGGGTTCACGCGTGTGTTGTACAATCTTGTGGCTTTTGAAAGATGCATTGTGTCATGTGTCCATCATAATAGCATCATAAAGAATAGTTTCACTGCCTGAAAAATGCTCTGGGCTCCATGAAAGTTGGCTTACTTTTATTATACTTTGGAGACATTTTGGGGAACCTGAGTTCATGGCTAAAAATTTCTTCAAAATTAATTTTTTTCTCCTTGTTCTTTCACGTAGAGGTACCTGTAAGGTGTGCAGGGAGATATCCATAGCACAACTTCATTGCAGACATTCACACTGCCCTATGGTGAGGACCCAGTATCCACTATATCTACTGCTTTGACTCATTGGCTTCAGAGCTGGCTGGAAACTCTTTAAGGATATCAAACTGAGGGTCCACACCTGTCAACTTTCTGCACCAAGCCAGTAGACAGAACATTTTCTAAGAGATTAAAGAAAATGGCCATGTTTTGCCAAGGAGATACCAAACTACTCCCAACTTTCTCTCTCTCAATTCTGTAAACTTGTTTCTACATTTTTCACAGTATCTGAAAAGAAAGGTCTTGTTCTGTTCCATCAATATCAAAATGTTACATCTACAAACCTAATTTTCCTTTGTTTTGAACAGAGACCAAGCGGGATCAACACTATAGGCTTTGAGAAGAGATGTATTATTTAATTTAGGCACTTGAGATTCACTTAGTCCTTTTTTTTCTGATTTCATATTTTGTCTTTCATATCTTTTTCCTCTATATTTTTCTCTTCAGATTGCAGCTGAGAGAGAAAAGCAAGACTTCCATCAATTCAGCCACTTATTCCCTAACTTATTCAATAAGTCACAATGACACATGGATACTCACCTCCTCTTCCCTCAGCTGTCCTGAACAATGACTTCCCTTAGGTGCAGCATGCCTCGAAAGACTAAAAAGCTATTTTGAGACTAAATTCATTCTACTATAATGTGAGCTGTGAAAGAGAAACAAAAATTCTGATTCTAGATTAGACCAAAGCAATGTTCATTAAGGATCTTGACCATCTGCTTTGTCTGTGTGTAATTCATTACCTGAAATACAGTTACAGCACAAGAGCTAAGTCTCTGATTTTCCCTTTGCTCAGAACCACCTGGATGACAAAAGCATGGAGCCCATCATCTCTGTGGTACTTCAGATCCTGAGGCAATGCTACCCTAAGAGCCTCCTTCCCTTGCTCACAGCCAGCAGTGCTTATGCCTTCCGTATTCCTGGGAGTATCACCTCTGAGCCTCCACGTGTTCTAACTGAAGGTAAACTAAGAGGGTAACTGTAAGCTTTAGTGTGAGTGTTTGCATTTGGCAATATTTCAGGGAAACGTGGATGAAAGTAGAATCAGTTGTTTTACAGGTCAGCCATGATTGTCCAATAACCTAACTAAAGATATGTATGAGAAAGTACTTTTCTTTTCTTTTTTTCATATACAGAGTGAAAAAATACCAAGCTCACTTACTTTGTCCTTAATTACTGACTGCTGCCACTTTGCCTGGTAGCTATTGAATGCCTGTACAGTTCTTCTCAGCTAATGTAGAAATCTATTCACAGTCCCATGATCTGGTCTGTCCACTGTCCTGACTGGTTCGGAAATTAATTTGCCCTAAGAATGGAATTGAAATACAACTTCTGCTATTTACAACCCCGTGCTGGTTATATTGGAATCCTTGAAAGTATGAGAATTCAATCTCCAAGAAGATCTTGTGTCAAAAGATCCTAGTGCTTTTTGACCCCATCTTCTTTTCTATGGGGCAGATTTTCCATAAGGCAGCATTTTGTCACAGTGGCACTGGAATCTTTCTATGGACTTTTGTTTTAAATAAGCTCCTTCATCTCAACATTAGAGAATTATTCAAGGTAATATCTAAGTTTCAACAGATGTCATATATATGTGATCTCGAAGCGTTGACCGTGTTATTTGCATAAATACCTGTAAATTGGATGTGCAAATCCTAAAAATGAGGTCAGTTCCAGGCGTCACAGAATGGTATTCAGATGTGCCATTTTGTTCTGTACTCATTTTGCATTCAATGTGGAACAACAGTTTAGATGTCGTGTAATAGTGCTCTCTCATGTGTCTGTGCATGCACATCATTTACATCTACCAATAAGCTTTAAAGTACGCTGGGATACTGCGCACATAATGGTGAACCCTTTACTTGGGAGAGGAAGAAGTAATAATCCTTGTGTGGTGAGACTCCAGATCCAAAGCAAAGAGCAAGCCTCACCCATTTCACCTCTTTTTCCCCATCCCAGAGGATTTCGAAGATGATGGTGATGAAGAGGTGGACAGAGACTCAGATTCTGAAGATGTGAAAGAGGAAGTAGGTACCCCAGCCCTTGCTTCTAATGATATCCATTTGCACATCTTGCAGAGAAAAATACCACTTCCTATGTTTGTCTAAGCCCAATGTAAATTTTAAAAACCAAAGTGATGTCGACTCCAGTGCCTAACAGATAGAGATGCCTAGTAAATGACATCTACTGTTGTGTATTTCCAAGGTATCATCTTCATCTTTTTAGGTCCAATACAATGTCTCCTTGTAAAGTCAGAGGCCATCCATTCTGAAGACATGAACACTCCATCCGGATGAGCCTCAGATAGACACTTGATGCTTAGGATTGACATGTTTAATAAATGTATATGACGTTCAGTCAAAGAGATCATGAAAAAAATTGCCAGAAACTTTTTTCTGGTAGATCTCACCTAACTTTGTAAGTCACTCTTCTTATCTACTCATTCTTCCTAGGGTCGCTGCGTTGCACAGTTTCATTCACTGCAGAGTCTCTGTGAATTGTGCTCTCTTGGGTTGGATGAACAACCTGTCCAACAGGGGAGTGGTGTCCCTTGGTCCTTATCTTATTATGGCCTATGCTATAGAAGAGGGATTCAAAACTTTTCCTGTAAAGAGCCAGATAGTAATTATTTTAGTCTTTATGGACCATACAGTCTTTGTCAAAAAACTTTACCGTTACTGTGGGAAAGTAGCCAAAGGCAATATATAAATGACTGGGTGTGGCTGTATTCCGATGAAACTTTATTTGCAAAAATAGGCAGTCGGCCATAGTTGCTCACCCTTGCTTTAGAACAGGGTTTCACTATTGGCATTTTGGACCAGATTGTTCTTTGTTGTGAGGGCCTGTCATGTGCACTGTAGGATGTTTAGCAGCATCCTTGGCCTTTACCCACTAGATGCCAGGAGCACTCTAGTGATTAAACCAAAATGTCTCCAGACATTGTCAAATGTCTCTGGGAAGCACAATTCTCCCTGGTTGAGAACCACTACTTTATGATAATGATGATTTGACTGCAAGTTAAAATTCTGTCTCCATTTCTGTTGGTGAACATGGACTTGGACAAATTCCCTCAAGATACAGTTTCTTAATTCTGTCATCTGCAAAATAAGTCTGAGAAGTAAATGCTACCTTTTATGACATTCCTGGGCAAGAAACTTGAATTTTAAAAAGAATCTATCTATTAATCATCTATCTGGAGTCCCTGGGTGGTGCAAACAGCTGCTAACCAAGAGGTTGGAGCTTTGAGTCTACCTAGAGGTGCCTCAGAAGAAAGTTCTGGTGATCTACTTAAAAAAAACCCTATGGAGTACAGTTCTACTCTGACACACATGAGGTCACCATGAATCAGGGCTGACTTGATGAAAACTGGTTATTTTTATTATTATTATTATCTATCAAGGAGCCCTAGTGGCAAAGTGGTTAAGCACTCGGTTTCTAACTGGAAGGTCAGCGGTTCGAACCCACCAGCCACTCGGTGGGCAAAAGATGTGACAGTCTGCTTCTGTAAAGGTTACAGCCTTGGAAACTTATGGGGCAGATCTATAGGGTTGCTATGAGTTGGGATCGACTTGATGACAATGGTTTGGGTTTTGAGTTTCTCCCCTCCCACCATCCGTCTCTCTCTCTCTCTCTCACTGCCTGCCTAACTAGCTGCCTGCCTATCTATCTAGAGAGAAAGACACTCTGAGTTTGCTGTTATTGTAATCACTCATCTTTCCAATGGTAGTAGCAGACATACAGGGACTATATCTTCGCCACATCTCTAGGTTTAGACTGTTATTGACACTCTGGGGTTCCTAGGGTTTTGTTGATAAATATTTGAATCATTTCTGAAGTCATCAGTAGCAATTTGTTCTTTGCCATGGCGTGGCAGTGCAAGCCTATAGAGTAAGTGCTGAATTATTTGAATAATACTGTGCTGCTGCAGTCATTCATCAATGCCACTTTCCCTTCCTCTCTTGCTTGCTCTTTGATAACTGAATGTCTGATGCAGAATGTCAGTCGCCTCTTGTATTTGATGTGAAGGGACAAGGCCATGGCAGTGCCTGACTTCACACAGCATCGAGGTAAGGGCTTTCACCTACGATGCTTACTCCCCACTCTGCAAACATTGGTAGGGTGGGGTGGAGCGGAACCTAAACAAACCCAGCTGGGAAAGCACAGTACAAATCACTGGGGGCCTGGAAACTACTCATCAAAAGCCTTCAAGCCAAGGAAATGATGAGAAGTGGGTTTGTGATCATGAGTTGTAGAGAAACAGAGGAATGTTGGAATCAGGGTTTGATTCCAGAGTACAGCAAGAACAAGGAAACTGGGGCTCCAGAAAAATGGTTTTTCCTTAGTGAACCCACTAGTGTTTACTGCAGGAAATGTAGATGAGGATCCAGGTGTGTTTTATTTCTAATCACTGCACTGACCCACGACTTTAACCTTGAAATTCTCATTTGAAAATCTTAGCTAATAATTGGAATCGGCATTTTAGGAAGAATGATTAGAAAGAGTTTTATCTGTAAAGGACTTTGTGAATCGAAAGTTAGGTTTTGTGTGTTTTGATTGAAGACTGCCAAGGTCAACATAAGAAAAGAGAATTTCAATGAATACAGACTAGGTGCTGACCATACATATTTTTTTCTTCATAAATACGAACATTAGAATTGGAGAAACTTTAAAGGAGAAGGGGATAAACAGAGTGAACTCAAATTCTCCCTTTGTTTCCTCCTTTTTAAAATTTTTGCTTCTTTCAGATACTTTCTTGGGTATAATCTATTTATGAGATAGCATGCTAACTTCTTGGGGTTGGTAATACAATACAAATACAAGTAAGATGTAGTGTTTATTTTCAGAGTTCACAGACTAGTAATCTTGGGGATTGTCCCTACCAGAGTCCAAATCACCACCTTCAAAGGGGAGGTGAACTCAAGTCTGAGGCAGGGAGAAACCAGTATTGAAGGGGTCCAACCTAAGGAACAAGGACATAAAGCATCTGTATTTGATGGATGCCAGGATCCTAGGTGGTAAAGGATTATCTGGGTAGCTGTGAGGATCCAGAAGCAAATCCCTAGAGAATGGTACTTCTAAGAAATACAGAAGGTGGGGGGAACCCAGCTGAGGGCCTAGAGACTCAGGGACCAAGTTTCAGATCTTTGAGGGGCATGAGATTGAAACCAGAGATGGTCTCTGTCACATTTGCCATTGTACCTTGAGAGCAGCCACAGACCATATGTAAATGAACAAGTGTGGCTGTGTTCCAATAAAACTTCATTTATCAAATCATGCAGTGGGCCTTAGTTTAGGGGCCCTTGCTCTAAGGCTAAGTAGGAGACCTAGCCACTGGTGGAATGAGTTAGGCTGTAGCTTATGGGTTACTCCTCACTCCAGATATACCAGTTCAAGCACGACCTTACTCACTGGTGGTGGAAAGACTGTTCCCAATGTCTGGCCAGGTTGTGTTTCCATCAATACCACCCTGGAGCATGGGTAAAGCTGTACGGAGGGGCTAGAGGCAAGCAGGAACTAATAGATGAAGCTAGAAACAATGCAAATGGTGGGATCTTGAATACCTAAGGTGTTTGGACTAGTGCACTGTACTGGAAGATATCACTAAATCAATTTCATGGGATTTATTTTTCTTTTAATTTGAAGTTTGGAGGAAAATTGCAGAAGATGGATGGAATATTGAATTTTCTTTTTTCCCTAGATCAGGAATATAAACATTTATTTTCCACATTTATTAGATTTAAGGAAGAATAATCAAGGCCTTCAGGACTGCCATGTTTTTCCTTAATTAAATACACTCTACATACATACATACTACATATGGTAGATTTTTCTCCTCTCTTTTATTAGGGAAGCTTGATTAGGCAGAGACATGGGAAGATGAAGCAGAGACTGGACTGGTTGATTTATGGTGTCCTTTCTCTGTAAGAGTCTATAACCCTTGGAAATCCCAGAAGTGTTGGGAGGAGAGTTACCATCCTCATTAAGCTATTATGAAGTTACTACCTAGGAAAAAAAAAAAAGGGTCTAGGATTATTCATCCCAATGAAGGAAAGGTAGATGGTGACTTGGTAAACTTTTAAATTTATAAAGGGATAAAGGTATAACAGGAGGACACAAACTCCTCTCCAGGGCCCGTAAGAATCAGTATGATGTCTCTCCTAGCTACCTCTCAAACATCATCTCCTACAATTTTCCTTTTATATTCTATGCTTCAGTAGCCTTCTTCCTGTAGGCACATTTAAGCTGTTACTTCTGCTAGTAATTACTTTCTTCCGGATCATTGCATAGCTGGCTCTTCTTGTCATTTAGGTCTCAGTTAAAATGTTACCTTCTTAGCAAGATCTTAGATCGCCCAATCTAAACAGCTTCCCATACCCCAGTTTCAGTCACAATCACATAACCTTCTTTCATTTTGTCCATGGCATTTATCACTTTTGGAAATTACCTTATTTGTTTATTTTCTTATTCATTGTCTGTCTTCTCTCACTGGAAGGCAAATCCATGGGAGCGTGGACCTTGTCTGTTCTGTTGCCAGTATGTAGAAAAGTACCTGCTTTTATTAATCAACCAACCAGTTGCCATTGAGTCAGTTCTGATTCATGGTGTCCCCGTGGGTGTCAGAGTAGAACTGTGCTCCATAGAGTTTTCAATGGTTGATTTTTCTGAAGTAGAAAATAGATCATGAGACCTTTCTTCCAAGGCATCTCTGGATAGCCTCGAACCTCCAACCTTTTGGTTAGTAGCTGAGTGCATTAACCATTTGCACCTCCAGGGAATCCTTCTCATATTGTTGTCGCTGGGTGCCGTCGATTTCACTTTTGACTCATAGTGACACCATATGACAGAGTTGAACTGTCCCGTAGAGTTTTCTAGGCTGTAATCTTTATGGGAGCAGATCGCCAGGTCTTACCTGTGGACTTGCTGAGGGAGTTTAAACTGCCAGTCTTTCCATTAGGAGCTGAGTGCTTAACCGTTGTGCCACCAGGGCTTCTTTCCTACCCATATTAGGTGCTCATTAAAAGTTTGTGGAATGAGTGAAGGACCTAAATGGCAACAGTAGATAGATGAATAAGTATGACAATTATGATGATATTGATGGCAATGAGATAAAAGTTTTCCTTTATGTCATGCTTTATTGTTTACATAGTTCAATTGATTGTACATAAATTGTTATTTATTTATAATGAAGGCTGATAAATACTGACGTGTGCTGAGGAAAGTTGTGTATTTTTTTTCTTTCTATTTTAAAAATAAAATGGAACATATTAAATTCTCCTCTAGGTAGGCTAGCACTATAGTTTGAAAGCAAGGAAACCATGTCCTAAGAGTTTTTTAAATTTTTAAATAAAAAAAGTCCTTGTATAGAGAACAAAACATTTGCCATTTCAACATTCTTCACATGTACACTTATATCCTAAGATTCTGAAGAATCACATATGTAGCTAGTCTCAATACTTCTCAGTACCTTTCTTGGTTGTAATGTATTCTTTGAATGTTTTGTTGTAGGATAATGACTTGGAAACAGACATGAACAAGCTGAGTTCCAAACCTGGCCTTGACCGACCTGAAGAGGAGCTGAAACAATATGAGGCGATGTGTCTTGAGCTCTCCTATAGCTTTGAGGTAGGACATATGTTGTGGTTTTGCTCCTTGCTGATGCATGATGGGTACTTTGCTGTACCTGGGAGAGGTATCTAGATGGAAAACATTGCTCATCATTAGCAATCTGCTCCTGGGATCTTTTTGGGAGAAAAACAGAAGGCTAAGCAAAAATGGGAAAAAGATGGCCAAGTTAAGATGCATATGAGGGTCCTATACTGTGACACTCTTTCTACATCTAGGATGAAAGTCTTTGGCTGCCTATTGTCTTGTGGGCAAGGTGCCCTGTCTCCATGCATTGAAAAAGGAAGTAAAAATTTCTAATGACTTAATTATTCTCTTGCCAGAGTGGGAAAGTTGTACTAGAAGCCTTTCTGAAAGCGGCCATCCTATTTCAGGCTGTCTTTGTTAGTAAAAACAAATTGGGAGCCTTAGACCTGGTGATGCCATTTCAGTGGCCATTTGCTGCTGTTGCTGGTGATGATAATGCTGTCATCAAGATTTTAGATCTGCTTTTTGATCTCTGTTATTTTCTAATGGCTCTTAAAAAATAATGAATTTGGCCACACATAAGGGTACTAGCTAAATCACATGTAGAAGGGAGTTAATGTACTCTATTTTACTCCAGAGGGGATCATTGGGTAAAAAGTTTCAGGGAAGAAAATTACACTTGAAATTTCATTTCAACAATTAGAATGATCAGAATGATCTTCAAATAAAAGGCATTACCTTAGGGTGCAGTGAAAGGTACCATCTTGGTTGCAGTGAGGCCCCAAGAATAAGGTTGATCAACCAGATTATAACTTTGTGGGGTGTATACAGTGTATAGGCACTCATGCACTACAAAGAATTGTACTAGATGGCCCACCAAAAGCCTCTTCCAAACATGAGTTTCTATGATTCTGCCATTCATTTGACTCTTGAAAGTTAGTCTTTCTTTTGCTGACCTTGGAAAAAGTTTCCCCATGCATAGGATTTATGCTTAGCTCTGTGCCCAGAGATTGAGAACAGGAGTCAAATTGTATTATCTACCTAGAAGGAAACACTGACATGTTCTTTTCCACTTTAAACTTGAAGGAACTGGAGTCCACACTTGAAGAAGATTTGAATTTTGAAGGGACTCAGCGTGCCAATCACCACCACATCCCAGCTGCTGCCTCCCCAAAGCAGCATGGCTTGAATAAGGACCAGAGCTGCTGGGGGCTTGAAAGAGAAGACACCGTCCAGACTTCCCTTCTGAGTATGGTGAAGATGGGGAGGTCCACTGTGCATCTAGCCTCCAAAAAAACACCTGCAATGAAAACTTACCCAAAAGTACCATGCAGTCGTCTTGGGATAGATTCTTCTGGAAATGAAATTCCTGACATTCAGGCTTTCCTCAAAGAGGATGTTTGGGACATAGATGCAATTTCCTGCCGAAGGATGAGTGCCTCCCTTGCAAATTCCACTATGCCTACAGAAAGTGTTGAAGTAATAGATAAGGTTCTGCAGACACATCCCAAGGATATTCCCTTCCATGATCCCCATCTTTATATGGCCAAATCCAGAAGAACCAGATCTGTGCCAGACTTCAAGATGATGGCATTTCCCGATCTCTGGGGACACCACCCACCTCCCTCAGCCCAGTCCATGTTGGAACGCAAATGTGGAGTCCAAAGGTGACAATGTTACCAATTTGGGATCTATATTTTTTCTCTTCTTGAATATTTTTGTAGATGGAATGGTTTGTACAGATACCCTGCTCTCTGTAGGAAAGTGAGCATCATCGAGGAACATGTCAAAGCCCCTTTAGAAGCTTTTGCTAAACACAAAATTTGCCTCCTTACCAGGACATTTCAGAATCAAGTGTAGGGTAGTGGCAGGCATATGTTTCTGAAAAAAAGAATTCCTTTGATTATTTTAGTACAGCCCGTTAGCCCATATCCATTGCAAACCACTGCTACAGAAAAAAATAATCCAGTTTCTCCAAATATTGGAATCACTCCTTAAAAGAAGGTTCTCAGTAAAATCAAGTATTCATTTTCTGAGATCTCTTTCCTTGTTCACTGTAAACTGGTATCTGGTCTCTTGCTAATAGAGAGGAGGGTGGAGTACCTTCATCCTACAATCCAAAGTTATAGACCCCGGCTTGGCTTGAAGAATAGTTTTTCCGCATCACTGCAGAGGAGATGGAAAAGACGCATTCTCCAGGGCAGAAACACTGGGTGATGGATTATTCCCAGAACACAGGAAAGGGAACTTTGCCTTTGGCTCAGTATAATAAGACTAAAATAAAAACTGAGAAAGCCAAGGAAAAAATGATTATGTATATACTAAGTCAGTGGAGCAAAGTGTGCAGACCAGAACGTTTCATTAACTTATTTTTCTGTTTCCTCAACAAATTGTTCTCTCAATTGTGTATCCTAAAATCTGCTCCCACTTGGGCTCCTGGCTTCCATCTCTGACTTCACCCTCTGACCCTATCTACTATGCCCAAGTTCCTGAGAGACACACCACAGCTGGGCCAGCACCATCTTATCACTGGATAGAACATCTGCCCCCTGAGTCCAGGCCTCATGTCCACCCTCTCCTCCCTCTTCTCCCACCCACTCCAATGAACTGGATTGGAAATTCAGGGAGGAAGTCTGAAAGTCCCCCCTGGCTTCCTTCCTCCCTCTTACTTAAATCTCCTGGACACTGGTTTTTCTCAAATAGAAGATTCACTTCAGCTTTCTGGAGCAGACAGAGCCCAAGGGATATAAATAGCACAAGAGCTCAAAACCTTTGTAGAAACCCTCCAAACTTTGAGGGCGCTAACAGTCTCCAGTCCCAAAGTCTTCCTCAAGTCTGTCTCAACACAAAGGACCCTATTATTCATACAACCAGAAAATTTCCAAAGTCCCCTAGTCCAAGTGCTCTTGACAAAACTCTTCACCAAGCCAAGGATACCCTGACTAAAATCTAACATCACTGCTTTCAACATTTCTACTGCCCAGTGTAGTTTTATTTCTTGACGGAGAAAGGAAGGTTTCAGTTCAAGCTAGGCATTATTAAACTTTTCTCTTCATTTCATATTTCTCTGATGACTCCCAAGGACCTTCCCAGGTGACCCATAGGATGAGTAGGTAGAAAGTAAGGGCCAACTCTTAAAAATATTTCCAATTTCCCTTTTCAGAATCAAGATATTTGAGGATGTCCGCAGACTCATCCAGCCAAGTGATGTCATCAATAAAGTCGTCTTCAGTTTAGATGAGCCTGGGTAGGTGGTCTTGTGCTTCAACGGAATGGAAGGTGTGGAAAATACTGTTAATGGCCCCAAAGTAGGAGTTTTTTATGATAGTAATCTATTCCTAGTCCTCAAAGTGGCATGTTGAAATTCAGGTTAAAGAGATCTATAAGAGAAAATTTATCATGAAGGAATGTCAAACTGTGACCAAGAACAGCAGTAATGCACAATTTGATATGTTCCCTATTTCATTACAGGCCTTTACAAGACACGAGTGCTCCTCATTGCCTAAGGTTCTTCTCCAAGTTTGAGTCAGGAAATCTTCGCAAAGCCATCCAAGTGCGTGAGTAAGTAAGGAAAGTTCTCAGGAGGCAGCTCCTGCCAGCCCAAGAAAGTGGGTTGTGAGCATCTCTTCCCCTCTTCCCATTCAATTGCCCCACAAGAGTAGCTTGATCTTGGTAGTGGTTACACAGATGTTTTCCTATATAAACAAATTCATGGAGCTATATACGTAAGATTTGTGCACTATACTGAATGTAAGTTATGTCTCATTTGAAAAGTGAAAAAACAAACAACCCTTGCATTACTAGCTTAATTCATATTTGTTGTTCTGCTGGGGGATTTACATATACTATACAGTATATGTGTATGTATAGTATATATATATATATATATATATGCTTTTATATATATATATATATATGCTTTTATATATATATATATATACCAAACTCGTTGCAGTCCAGTCTATTCCTACTCATAGAGACCCTATATGACAGAGTAGAACTGCCCCATAGGGTTTCCAAGGAGCAGATGGTAGATTTGAACTGCTAACCTTTTGGCTAGCAGCAGTAGCTCTTAACCACTGTGCCACCAGGTTGCTAAAGTCAGAATTGACTCGATAGCAACAGGTTTGGTTTTATACATATATATCTATATATGTATATAAACTGTACAGTAAATAAAGAGTCCTAGTTAATAAGAAGCCCAGGGTGGCACAGTGGTTAAAACGTTAGGCTGCTAACCGAAAGTTTGGTGGTTGAAACCTATCAGCCACTCTGTGGGAGAAAGATGTGGAGTCAGCTTCCATAAAGATTTACAGCCTTGGAAACCCTGTGGGGCAGTTCTACTCTGTCCTATAGGGTCACTGTGAGTCGGAATCGACTTGATGGCAATGGGTTTGGTTTGTTTTTTTTTTTTTGTTTTTATACAGTTAATCTTTACAAACAACACTGCAAGTTTAGACACTATTTCCATTTTCCCTATGAGAAGACTGAGACTCAAAAAGAATATCTGGCATCAAGTGGTTAGTAATAGCATACTCAGGGCCAGATGTGACCACATTTTCTCTGGGATATAGCACACATGCATTTTTCTAGCTGGGTAGAAAGTTCATTACGGTTTAATAAAAAAGTGGCTATGGTTGTGTAACTGACTCTGCTAATACCAAGAAAAAAGAAAAAGCCTGATTTTCCAAAGCTTATGTTCAACAAATTACCACAAAACTGGTGGCTTAAAACAAGACAAATTTATTCTCTTACATTTCTGGAGTCCAGATCCAAACTTGTATGAGAATATCTAACATCTGAGATACGGATGATAACTATAACTTACTGGCCAACTGAGATCCTGGGTCTTAGATCTGTAATCCAGAACCTGAGACTTGTAGATTGTCAATGTTGGAAGCTACTGTCAAGGCCTTCTAGACAACTCTCTAATTTTGTATATGATTTACAGGTTTGAGTATGACTTGTTGCTTAATGCTGATGTGAACAGCCCCCAGCACCAGCAGTGGTTTTACTTCAAGGTGAGCGGTATGAGAGCTGCTGTCCCTTATTGCTTCAATGTCATCAACTGTGAGAAGCTCAACAGCCAGTTTAACTACGGTATGAGCTTTTAGGGGATAGGGGCTTCCTAGATATTACCAGGAATGATGTTTCTTAAGTGTTTGGATTTTTATCAGATCTCTACTTGGGTTCCCGGAGGGTTTGAAGGCTGGGCTACCCATTTTGCTTGCCAGATGTGACAAGGCAGTGGTTACGATGGAGGGAGAAGCTGGAAAGCCTCATTCCACAATAGAAAGTACCACACATAACATTGCACTGCTTTCTAACTCCCACAGCCCACCTTGAGCTTTTGGAAGTAGGTGGTCCCTCTTATTTATTCCCTCTCTCCATCTGCTACACCCCAGTATAGCAAATGTATTGTCCTGCTTGTAAGAAGATAGAGACAAATTTTCTCTCAGAAAGCTCTGGAGAAAGTTTAAATTCTCCATAATGTCTGTGGACATTTTGGAAGAGACATTCAAGAGACGAAGACTGACCAGTAGTCCATATTTATTTTGAACAATTCTGGGAAATTCTGGGTGTTATTACTGGCTCAAATAATAATTTATTAGATGGCCCTGAACCAGGAATAAGTATTTCCAGGCTTTATATCCAAGCACTGGATACTGCCTCTATTTTGTACTGGTTAAGTAGACTCTTGATGGTGTAGAAAGAGAAAATATGGTCTTTGACTCTTCTTTTAGGTTCCCCTGGTTGCTGTAACAAATAACCACAAACCTGGTGACTTAGAACAAGACAAATTTATTCTCTTACCGTTCTGGAGTCCAGAAGTCCAAAGTCAGTTTCACTGGGCTAAAGTCAAGGTGCTGGCAAGGCCATGCTCCCTCTGCAGGCTGTAGGGGGGAATCTGTTTCCTAGCCTTTTACAGTTTTTCCATTCCTTGTCTCATAGCCCTTTCTTCCATCTTCAAAGTCAGCAGCACGCCATCTTCTAATCTCTCTCTGCTTTTGGCACATTGCCTTCTCTTCTGCAGTCAAATCCCCTTCTGCTGCCCCCTTACAAGGATACTTGTGATCACATTTAGGGCCCACCAGGATAATTCAGAATGATCTCCCCATCTCAAGATCCTTAACTTAATCATGTATGCAAAGTCTTTTTCGTATATAAGGTAATATTCACAGGTTCCAGTGATTAGTACCTGGATATCCTTGGGGACCATTATTCAGTCTATCACAACTCTCTCCACTCGTTTTCTTTCCATTATGGATTAAGTCCTCCCTTTATTTTGTGTAGGGATGCAGCCAACCATGTATTCGGTGAAGGAGGCTCTTCTTGGCAGATCCACCTGGGTACGGACGGGCTGTGAAATCTGTTATTACAAGTAAGTGAGAGTGTTGTTAGCTTCCTTCTTGCTACCCTTTCACTCCCTCTCAATTTCCTGCTTTTCCATATTGATCTTATAAACCTCAGCAATCTGTGCCTGTCTGCTGCGCTTGTCACTTTTTCCCAATGGCAAATGACCTGCCCTTCAGAAGGGTGTGTATTTCAAATGGCTTCCATAGTGGACCTCAAGAAATATCTTTTGATTGGCTGAAAGATGGTCTGTCATCATTTAAACACATTAAGACCTTTAGAACTTGTTGTTGGATATTAGTGGTTGTACCAACTCAACCTATGCATAAGTCTTAACTCTTCACCTGTTCCCGCTAGTCCCCGTGAACAAAAAGTCTGAGATTTTCTGGTCTGTTTTTAACCATTCTGTGCTTCAGTTTTCCAAAGTACAGCGAAGTGACTATGTAGCAAATACTCTTAAGTAACTGTTCTTCCACAGTAAGGTGAAAAATTTTAAAAAGGGAGGGTTTTCAAAATTCATTCCTTGATCGGTAGCTGGTTTTATCAGTTTATCCTGTAAAGTTATAATGAAATTTAAATTATCCACATCTTTTGATGAAAGAATAGATTCCAGACCCAGGAATTGCTGTATGTGCATTTTCTTTTGATGGAAAATAAAATACATATTCACAAGAAAAAAGGAGGGGAATTATTAGGATAGGTAGAGCATATTAATTAATTATTAGCTCAGTGCTAGTTTCTTATAAAAACTGATATAGGCTAGTACTTATTTTCTTGGATAAAGTAAGTCTTATATCTTTCTGAGAATATAGGAAACCGCTAAAAAAAAACTATTATCAGACATTCTAGAGTTTAGGATTGTCATCAATATCAAAAAGAGAGTATATATCCTTCAGTCTCTTGGCTTTTAAGACTGTGAGGCTAGAGCATTGATAGAGAGGAAGGTCAAGGATCGTGTTGCTCTATCAGATACAAAGACAAAAATCATCATAGAGATAATGACAGTATCCAAAACACGGAGCTGGGCTGACTGACAGTGTGTAATAAGAGAGCTGGCATTCTTTAGTCCTTGATGTATTAGGATATGGACCTGGGAAGTATTCTCGTTTTATTTTTTAAATGAATAGCAAAATCTTACAACTGCATTTGTTTTCTGTTCACCTCAGTGATAATTACTCTCTGGCCCACCTTGCTTGAGACTCTCAGGACCCTTTTATGGTCCAAAGAGGCTTAGACTAAAAATCACCTCCAGAGGAGAATATACTGAGAGAGAGGCCACAATTGCAGGAAAATAATATAAAATTCTAAATCTGGACCTTGGTGTTTCAAGAATAATTTTAAGTATATTCCAAGTTGCCAATGTATAGAGGCCAAATGTACAGAGACCAAAGTTTATTAGTGACGACCAGGGACGGGAGGGAAAAGAGTCATTGGTTACAAAGCACTGAGTTTCTGTTTATGGTGATATAAAATTTGGCAACAGATATTGTTGATGGTTGTAGAACGTGATTAATATGATTGGTGTCACTAAATTGTACATGTGAAAAGCGTCAAATTGGCAAATTTTGTGTTATGTATATTTTTACAACAACAAGCGTGCTGGACTATATGAAGAAGAACGCAACACCAGAATTGGAGGAAGCCTCATTAACAACCTGTGATATGCAGATGACACAACCTTGCTTGCTGAAAGCAAAGAGGACTTGAAGCACTTACTGCTGAAGATCAAAGACTATAACCTTCAGCATGGATTACGCCTCAACATAAAGAAAACAAAAATCCTCACACCTAGGCCAATAAGCAACATCACAATAAACGGAGAAAAGATTGAAGTTGTTAAGAATTTCATTTTACTTGAATTCACAATCAGCGCCCATGGAAGCAGCAGTCAAGAAATTAAACAATGTATTACACTGGGCAAATCTGCTACAAAAGTCCTCTTTAAAGTGTTAAAAAGCATAGATGTCACTTTAAGGACTTAGGTGTGCCTGACCCAAGCCATGGTGTTTACAATCGCTTCGTATGCATGCAACAGATAGACAATGACTAAGGAAGACGGAAGAAGAATTGTTGCATTTGAATTATGGTCTTGGTAAAGAATATTGAATATATCATGGACTGCCAGAAGAGTGAACAAATCTGTCTTGGAAAAAGTACAGCCAAAATGCTCCCTAGAAATGAGGATGGCTAGACTTTGTCTCATGTACTTTGGACATGTTATCAGAAGGGACCAGTCCCTGGAAAAGGACATCATGCTTGATAAAGTAGCAGGTTAGCAAAAAAGAGGATGACTGTCAACGAGATGGATTGACACAGTGGCTGCAACAATGGGCTCAAAGATAGCAACGATTGTGAGGATGGTGCAGGACCAGACAGTGTTTTGTTTTGTACACAGGGCCTCTATGAGTTGGAACTGATTTGACGGCACCTAACAGCAACGACAACAACAACAAAAAAGACACAATGAAAGAAAAAGATTAACTTTCAGATTCCTCTGAAAATAGTAATCTTCAATAAATGTGAAAGACCCAGCTTAGAGCACACTTTAGTCTTGTACTTAGTAAGAGATTGGACAAACAACATTTTCTATCCTCTGCCAATAAGATACAGCTTTCCCTGGAGGCTGCTCCTCTTCTAAGTAAGGGAATAAGGAGAGGGCTTCTGGGGATCAAGCATCTGCCAAAAGAAGAAGAAAGAAGCCATATATCAAAAGCATAGACTTGGCCTAAAGAAAGCCAATGTTAATAGCTTTTAGATTCATTAACAAGACAATTGTTATGTGATTAAAGAGCAACAGAGGGGTAAGATGAAAACCATGAATGTATAATGCAATTCATTTTTCATATTCCAGCCATGAATACAACAGAGATGAATGGATGAGATTACTACATTGTAATGTAGTTTGTTTTACAATTATTCACCACATTATGTTAACTTATTTCCAATAATGTGATCTGACAACAGGATAGATATGAGTATCACTATGCACCCAAAAATCAGAATACCTCTCCCTACTATAAAATGTCTTTCTCTAATTAAACAGTATCTTTCTCCCTATTTACCCATCTCAATCTTTGAAGTGATCTGCTTTAGAAGATTTGTTTCTTCCCTGCCGTTATTCTCTCTGGTATATTAATCTAGGAGAACTTTACATCCTTATTTCTTTGTCTCCAGTATGTCATCAGAACACTCAGTAGTTCCATTTCTATTATGTTGTCAAGTTCCAAGATTTAGTGCCACATTTTAAAGGTGGTGCCAGGGTGCTCATTGTGGGGAGAACCATTTTGAGTCATGGTCCGTGCGTGTGTGTGTGTGTGTGTGTGTGTTTGTAAACAGAAAAAGGACACTCAGAAAGAATGGAATTTCCACTTCCTTCAGAACTTTACAACAATGATGATCAATTAAGGAGGTGAAGTGACTACTTTGTAGGACCGATTGCCATCAGTTAGAACAGTGGTCACCGAACTATTTTGATAGCTCACTACTAGCAATAAAATACATTTTTGCATGTCCTTTTAACATAGATTTGTTTACAGATTGTTTTTAATAAATTATGCATGCATTGCTATACTGGAGCCCTGGTGGCATGGTGGTTAAGAGCTGGGTTGCTAACCTAGAAGTTAAGCAGAGGATGGTGGTAGTTCAGTGGTAGACTTCTTGCCTTCCATGGGGGAGACCTAGTTTTGATTCCCGACCAATGTACCTCATGCACAGCCACCACCTATCTGTCAGTGGAGGCTTGTGTGTTGCTATGATGATGAACAGGTTTTAGTGAAGTTTCCAGACTAAGATAGACTAGGGAGAAAGGCCTGGCAATGTACTTCCAAAAATCAGTCAATGAAAATCCTATGTATCACAAAGGTCTGATCCGTAAGCGATGGTGCACGAACGGGCAGCATTTTGTTTCCTTGTGCATGGGGTGGCCGTGAATCGGGGGCCTGCTCGAGGGCAGCTGACGACAACAACAACAACGTGGCTTCTAAGCCCAACTTTCTTAAACATTAATTGTCTATATTGTGAGGTTTAGTTTAGTTTAGATAAGGTAATCTATAAATCCACTAAAGTAGGCATCTGCAAACTTAATTACCTTGCCAGAGCTAAATACAAAAGAAAGAAAGAGGGTGGTAGCTATTCCCACTCCTCCCTCAGGAAACCTTGTATGTGGCAATTGATGCTCAACTATACGAAAACCGTAGATGTAAAATGTAATGTATTTTTCATATTCCGGCCCTGAGTACAAGAGAGATGAAAGGATGCGATTGCTGCGCTGTAATCTACTTTGTTTTATAATTATTCATCACATTCAGCTAACATGGGACCGACACGTTTCATTCTGTTTACATAAACGAGCTGACTCAACGGCAGCTAACAACAACAACAGGTTAACATGAACTGTAGGAGGTCGCCGCTGTCAATCCCATATAAAATGGTAGACGACTTAATGTCTTCCTTAGTACTTCCGTAACAATAAATTTAAGGAGAGATTCTAGTATTTTCTCCCTGTTCTCAGTTGATCATCTTGTCCCATCCCCATCCCAGAGTATCTTCTACTCCTTCCTTCCCCTCATCCCTCTTAATTCTCCCTCCTACTCACCTTGAAGACCATAAATGGGCAGACTCATTTTTCCCTGGCCTTCATAAAATGAAGCAAGGACAGCTTTTGTTTCTGCTTTATTTACTTCTCTCTAGTCTGCTTCTCCCTCTTCAGTACACAGCCTCACACCTTTTCCAGTTCTCTCCTAGCTCTGGTCTAACGTGATTTTGGTGCTGAAGGGCAGAGGGAGGGAAGCTGCACGCTTAGAGTGGGCATGTAATACGCAACGGCTGATCTCCTCTGACATTTATCTCCGCTCGTGAGAGGAGATGGAACAGCTTACTCATGAAGATGAATGTCGTACCAGAGCTCTGCCATCATGCATCCTTTCGCGGGATCTCAGGAGAGAGAATTGGTATTATATAGAATATTAGGAACGCTGCAGACACAGGGAAGCCTGGTGACTTGGCTGCTCTGCCTTATTAGACCCTGTTAAGTGAAATGATACACTCTTGTTAAACAGAGCCATTGTCATTATAAGATTATCTAATTCACTCTCTAGCTTGGTATTTGCTTATTTCATGCACATGCTGAAAAAATGACTTTCCAGCATATTTTTAAGTCCAAATGGAAATAGATTGAGTTCATAACTATGCATCTGTGTACTTTGCTCCTTGCTTCATTGAAGGCTTTATGATTATAAAAGTGCAGATCCTTCCCAAGATAAATGGTTCAGGGAATGGAAAAGCAAAGAGGAGCCTTTTAACTGTGCATCTTTGACCCAAGATGACCTGTCTAAGCCATTGCCTTTGAGCCAGTTCGCACTCATAGCAATCCTATACAACAGAGTAGAACTGCCCCCATCGGGTTTCCAAGGCTGTAATCTTTACAGAAGCAGACTGCCACATCTTCCTTCTGAGGATCACCTGATGGGTTTGAACTGCTGACCTTTCAGTTAATGGAGGGCAAAAATGTTGCACAACTTGAAGAATGTAATCAGTATCACTAAATGGTACACATAGAAACTGTTGAATTGGTGTTCGTTTTGTTGTGTGTATTCTCAACAACAATAACAACAAAATAACATTTAAAGAAAAAAAATTAAGGGTGAATGTTCGTGACTTGCGAACATCCCTCAATATGTTCACATCATAACTGAGGAAACAAAAATAACTTGATGGGATCTCACTCTAGCCTGGACGAATTGAAATGTAGCAAGCCAAGCGTTTCACTTTAGAGATTTATCAAACGTTTCTCTATGAAGCAGAAGATCTGGGGAAAGTTTAAAGGCCTCTGAAGAGTAAAGTTTTGCTAGATGTTGAGTTGTCTCCTGGACAGCTCCCGCTACAGTAGGGCCACCAAGAAGACTCCAGTGGTGAAGCCTGACTTTGGCTTTAGGTTCAGCCAGAGTTTAGGCTCCAGACCAGGATTGTAATTGAATCTCCTTTAGCTGAAACTCCAGGCTGAAATCAACATTCTAAATGAGGTGACATTGTTTTTTCTGAAATTTCAGCAATCTGTAACCATTCTGGCTTGTTAGTGAGGAGCTTTTAGTCCTTGCCCAAGAAAATCAACGCCATCACACCACCAAGCTATAGTGGGTAGCGTGTTATGTGTTGGGGGACAGAGGGGTTGGTGAGAAGTAGATTTCATAAAGGCAAAACTACCATTCACATTCCTTACATTTTCCTTAAGTCACTATAACCTGGGCCCATGGGAGCCCAAAGGCTAAGAATTAACCCATTTTGTTTCTCTTTCCATTTCATTGTAGCTGCTCTTTTCCTGGAGTCCAGGTTTAGTTTGAATGGGGAAGGATCATAGGGATAAACATGGGGATTTCACTTTCTGTATGGGATCAAATTGACAACGTTAATTCTCTCTCTTGCTCTCTTCTGTGGCTGAGTGGAGGAAGGTTGAATTTGCATAGGCTAGAAGTGCCTGTGATAGAACTTCCTGCATACTCAATAGTGTGGTGGCAAACTGCAAAGAAGCTAGACCTATGCCAAATGAGACCCCTGCCGCTTCCCCCACAGCGGTATCTATAACTCAAGTCAAGGTGCAGGCTTGGTCTCCATTGCTGGTAGATGAACAATGTTGAGGCACTAGATGTGTGCTTCCACTTGCCTTTACCTTCACAGGTGTGTATTTGCTGTGCGTGTGCGTGCTCAAATGTTCATGCTTACGGGTGAACTTCTGTTCTACATTTTTGATTGGCTGTCCCTGGATCATTTCGTTTCAATTGGCCGTTCCATTGTAGGGAGGTGCAATTGGCTAGCACCTGTTGTTCAGGTAGGTATAAACTGAATGTGCTTTTGCAGTGGAGTGACATGTCTTTAAAAGTTAATTCAGAAAGAGAATAAAGGGCAGAGCGTATGTGGCGTGCATGCGTTCCGCGCTGCCATCTGCTTCTTTACATAGTTTCCAATAACCAGACTATTACCTTGGGGAGAAACTGCAGAATTTGAGGGAAATCTGGAGAAGGTATGAAGATCCAGGTGGCACCATAGGTGAAGAGGCCCCTTTTGAAGTTTCTGGTCCTGTAATCACAGAGGAAATGGGTTCAATCAATGTGATCCCGCAAAGCTGTGTGGGGCGATCCATTGGGGGCTTACATTGTTATCAAGTATTCTCTTTTCCCCAGAATGACCAAGGCTTCAGGTTGCCATGTTGGAAGAAGCTGGGGCAAGAGAACCGTATCAGGCTGTAGCCAGTAGGACCACCATCTTCTCTTGCTACCATCACCAGTTTCATAAATATTGGACCACAAGAAATAACACTGGATTTCTATTTCTTCTTTTCTTGCTTGCTTGCTCTTTTGCTTTGGTGGGAGGAGGCATGAAGGTAGCAGAGAGGCAGAAAAGAATAATCCATTTTTTTTTATATTTTGTTAGAACACGTAAGAATTATTATCTGCTATTTCTTCCCTTCCCCTCTCCCTTTCCCCCAATAAAACCAAAAGCACAATGGACAAGTAAGCCAACGTTGTACATGCTCAAAGGTGGAATTACATCTTTTAGTGTCCGGGTGTATTTTGCATCATAATGTAGTCTTGATGATAGCATTTCTCAGGAAAGCCTGCACAGCTGTCTCAGCATCAACAGGCAAGGCAAGAGCGTAACTGGCAGTGTGTGGGGAACATATTGCTCGGAATGTACTTCTGGGTGCAGTTTACTGTGATTCTGTTCTCTGAAGTATCAAAATTGGTTCTTCATCTTTAACAAAGGGAAATGTGTACTCTGAAGCTTTAAGAAGCTAACGCACCCTAGGATGGGGTGACAAATGCATTCCCTTGGGGAGAAAGCATCACATAGTGGAAAACACAAAGGCATTGCAGCCAGACAGATCTGGGTTCTAGTCCTGTATCGACCACTTACTAGTCTTGTGATCTTTGGCAAATGATTTAATTTTTCTAAGTGTTTGTTTCTTCATCTGCACAGTGGGCTGTTGCCGTGATAACTAAGGTGACATATGTTAAGGTCTAGTTGGAATTCAATATATTTGTTGTTGCTATTGTTAGTTGCCGTTTAGTTGGTCTCCAACTCATGGCAGCCCCATGTACAACAGAACGAAATGTTGTCCAGTCCTGTGCCATCCCCATGATTGCTTGTGGATCAGACCATTGTGATCCATAGGGTTTTCACTTGTTCATTTTCAAAAGTAGATTGCCAGACCTTTCTTCCTAGTCTATCTTTATCTGGAAGCTCCACTGAAACCTGTTCAGCATCAGAGTAACACACAACCTTCCACCGACAGATGGGTGCTGGCTGCACATAAGGTGCATTGGCTGGGAATTCCCTATATATGTAATTGAATCTGGGTCTCGCACATGGAAGACAAGAATTCTACCACTGAACCACCGCTGCCCTCCAATATATAGTAGTGATTACTAATAAATCCACTTATAATATTGTTTGAAGGGACTTATAATATTGCAGTTTGTGGAAATAGGAAGATGCTGTACCCTATGAGATCTGGAGAGAAGTGGGGGTTGGGGGAACCAAATTTGGATAATCAAGTGTATGTCTACAATAGAATCACAGGAAAAGCAGAATTAGTAACATTTTTCTCTATGTTTAAGCTCAATGACTTCATTTTCAGACAGCAAAGAAAGGCCTATGGCATATATGCCACGGTTGGGAGGCAGATGGGCCAGTCTAGAAGTTGCTGGTTTGGTCATCACCTGGCAGGAAGCTTATATGCACAGTTCTCTGTCCTCTAAATTTCACCATCAAAGTGTTTTTTTTTTTTTAAATTCTGGTCAATATATATGTAACAAAATACATGCCATTTCAACATACTTACATGTACAATTCAGTGACATGAATCATGTTCACCGTGTTGTTCAGCCATCACTGTTCTCTGTTTCCAAATTTTTCCATCACTTTTTAACAGAAGCTCAGTGTCCCTTGAGCAAAGAGTCCTCTTTCCCTCCTTCCTCCCCTTGACCGCAGTAACCACTAATTAACTTTGGTCTCTATACACTTGCATATTCTAGATGTTGTTGTTAGGTGCCGTTGAGTTGATTCAGACTCATAGCCACTCTATAGGACACAGTAGAATTGCCCCATAGGGTTTCTAAGGAGCAGCTGGTGGATTTGAACTGCGACTTTTTGGTTTGCAGCCAAGCTCTTAACCACTATGCCACCAGGGTGCTTTATTCTAGATATTTTATATAAATGGGATCATGTAAGTTTTGTCCTTTCGTGACTGACTTATTTCACTTAGCATAATGTTTTCAGTGTTTATCCATGCTGCAGCACGTATGAGGACTTTGTCTCTCTTTATGACTGAGTAATATTCCATTTTGTGCAGGAACCACATTTTGTTTTGAATGAAGAACATCTTGCCAGTACGTAACATGTGAGATTCATAGCATCTAGAGCCTAATTGTTGCCCTCACCTCTGCCTCATTCTCTTCTCTTCTGTCTCTTAGAAATCATTACTGCCGCAGTGCAGCTGCCACAGGAGGAGCATCTGGGAAGTGTTATTACACCCTCACCTTTGCTGTCACCTTCCCACACAGTGAGGATGTCTGCTACCTGGCCTACCACTATCCCTACACCTATACAGCCCTCATGGTAACTTCCTGTTTACATCATTACCCCAGCAGGGATGAAGGGGCTCTCTGATGTTTCCCTTAACACATTCAGGAGACACTGACATCTTGGTTGGGGAGATGCTGTCTGCCTCAAAGAGCCAGAGTTTGTTGTCGCTGACATGGTGGTATTATATTTGCCCTGTCTCCTTCCCTGGACAGAGCAGAGGGTGAGCTCGTGGCCAGTGATATTCTGAAGGCCCAAGTGGCATGTAGTGCTCCTTGTCTGCAGGTTGAGTGTGTGAGGTGGGGACGTTTCCTAGGAGCTTTAGCTGTGCCTCAGAAGAAAGGCCTGATGATCAACTTCCAAAAAGTTACAGCCATGAAAACCAGATGGAGCACCGTTCTACTCTGACATACGTGGCATTGCAATGTGTCGGGATTGACTGGACGGCAACTGGTGGTGGTGGTGGTGGTGTTATCTTTAAAGGAGTCCTGGGTGGCATAAACGGTTAATGTGCTGGCTGCTAGCTGAAAGGTTGGAGGCTTGAGTCTACCCAGAGGCACCTTAGAAGAAAGGCCTGGTGATCTGCTTCTGAAAAATCAGCCATTGAAACTATAGAGCACAGTTCTACTCTGACCCACATGGGGTCGCCATGACTCAGAATTAGTCAACTCAATGACAACTGTGGTTTTTTGTTTTTTTGTGGTTTTTTTGTTTGGTATATCTTTAAGCATAGTTTATCAAATTAAGCATGAAGTAGTCAGGCTGAAGTGAGATTATCAAGCTGAAATGCAGTAAAACCATACAAGTAAGCCAAGATGCAAAACAAAAAGAGACCAATTCACTGAGCGGAGTGAAGCAGAAGGCAAGAAGGTGACACTTGGGAAAATTCCCTGAGTCTGTGAGCAGACAGCCACTTGAGCTTTCCCAGGGGTTGCCATGGCCATGGGCTGTGGCTGGTAGAAAGATCCAGAGTAGATAAGGATTGTGGAGGAATAAAACACTGAGTCACTGCAAATGAGGCCCATGGTCTTTCTGTGAGTGGAGTGTCAGGAAGTCAATCCAGACTCAGTTAACATTCCTGGGTTCCATTCAAGGCCCTGCAAAAGGTCCTTCAGACACTTCTGAGCAAACTGAATGCTTAAACAGTGCAGTTTTCCATCATTTGAAGAAGCTGGCAAATTCTTTCCCCTAGCTATTTCATGGATATCCTGGGGATTAATGAACTACAGTATCTTCTATAAAGCACTTTCACTTTCTCTGTTAATACAAAATGTTATTAGCATATTTATACTAATATGCGTGTGAATGTATGTCATTTAGCCTGAAGATGGGCATTTTCATTTCAAGCCTGAGATAAGGAGTCGGAAAAGATAATACCCAAGAGCATCTCTCCCTTCAAAAGAAATGTTCAGGTATAAATGGGAGTGTTTCTCCACCAAGGAGGTATGTCTTAAACCACTTGGCTAACGGCTTCATGAAACCACATCTGCCCTTCTCTCCATATGTTGTCTTGCTGAAGAGAGATTTTTACTGTTTTCAGATTGCTAAAGACGCACAACTAGTATTATTTGTGTATCACACTTAGATAGCTGTAGAAGTTAATCCAAGAAATGTGCATCACAAGCTATGCTGTAACAAGCCATGTTTGCTACAAAACATGCTTGTTGCCTTTAGGGACACAGAACAGGCAAGATTCATGATCACCTTCAACAGCTGTTTTTATCATCTCGCCTGTGAAGCACTGTGTGTGAAAAGTCTCCTGGGGAAGGGGATTCCTTTTTGAATATGTACTTGTCTTTTCCATTGGGAGAATGGGCCCTGGGTCCAGGACACTGTCATTTTCACTTGTTAGAATATCTTGGACCCTGCTGAGATTCTTGGTAGCACCTAGTATTAAACTTTAGAATATAAAAGGATTTGGGGAGTTGTCTCATTCATCCTTATCATTTATAGATGCAAAAACTGAGGTCTAGAAATCCCTACATCTAGCTAGCAGCCAAGCAGGGAATAGAGCACAGGTGTTTGACATCTATTCCTGTGGTCCTTCTATTTCAATGTAGAAGAAATTCAAAAGAATTTCTGCTGTGAAGTCAGATCAAGTGTCCTTGCTTGCTACCACATACAATGTTCTTGTTGTTAGCTACCACTGAGTTGGCCTCCGACTGATGGCAACCTCACGCACAATGGAATGAAATGCTGCCCTGTCCTATTGAGACCATTGGGATCCATAGGGTTTTTATTGGCTGATTTTTGGAAGTAGATCACCAGGCCTTTCTTCCTAGTCCATCTTAGTCTGAAAGCTTTGCTGAAACCTGTTTAGCATCATAGCAACATGCAAGCCTCCACTAACAGATTGGTGGTGGCTGCTCATGAGGTGCATTGTCCAGGAATAGAACCCCGGTCTCCCTCAAGGAAGGCGAGATTATTACCACCAAACCACCAACGCCTCATACTAAACACAATAGCTACTAAAAAATGCATTCCACTTATGTAATTATATGTAGTCATTGAGTTGTGTGCTTGTACAGACATCTCTGAAGTTGAAATCAAGCCATCCATCTGTGGTATTTATCTGTAACTTTAAGAGACTGATATGGATGTGGTTCAGCTAAAGGACAATGTTTCTCACCAAACATGGTTTAATTCTTATCCCAAGATGCTCTGCTGGATTCTTGCTAGATGTCTGACAAGCTGATTCAAAGTCTAAGACCTATCCAGCCAGACCTTTACCATACCTGGCTGCTAACTCCATGCCTCTGGGACCCACTTACCTTCTGGAGACCTTGTCAGACCAGAGCACAAGGTCTAGAGTTTACAATCGACAAATAGCTTAGGGGCCATTTGAGTCACTGGATCTTAAGGGGGGACAAAATACAAGACCTAGAAGACCCACCCAGTCACTTGGTCCACACAGAAAGGGAGAGAGAGATCTTGTTAATTGATGCTTATTGGCTTGTTACTTAGCCTATGGACTGTGAATCTCCCCCTAGTAGGGAAGTATCAGGAGAGTTAATGAGAAAGAGACAGGAGAAGGGATACCTTTTTATTTCTCCTAAACGAATAGAACAAGGTAAGCGAGCCAGTTTGCCATTTGACAGTGAAAAACATATATATTGCAGTAGGTTTGATTTAATATACTCAGTTTTAGGCTTTGCATTTCAAATAATCCATGGTCTTTTCCTCTCTAGGCTTAAGACAATAACTGAGGCCTCTATGACTTCTCCTAGAAACCACTTCCTCCAGCTGTGGATGGAACGAGGACATTGTGTAATGCACACTAGTCATTTTTATTTTTGGACATGTTTTAAGGAGAAACAATTTTTCTTCCAACAGATCGGTGATAAATTAAATGTGAATGATACCCCAAGGGCAGAATTAACTGTATGCTACTTGGGGGGCTTTGCTGAGGGGTGGAAAATACCTTTCCGTGTGGAATTCACAGTTTGCGGATGTCTTATAATATGGATTATGTTTAATAATTACAGACATTTTTATAGCAGAGGACATGTATGTTGGATGTTATTCAGCATGAATACAATTTTGCAACTTTTAAAATTTCATTATTCTCTTATAATAAGAGAATCAGTATTTGGTTCTTTCAAATTTGATATCTTCCAGATGCTTGCCAGTACCTCTGGTGAACAATTCTCCAGATTTTCATATTAAAATAAAGCTAAAAGAATGAAATACAATATTATTCTGATTCTGAAGCAAGGAAAGGGAATTATATCTTAGTCAGCCATATCATGACACAAATAATTGCAGTGATTGTTAAAGTGTTAACAATAAAAAAAAAGTATTGGGATTATGTTATGAATTGTCCCTCAGTAACCAGTACCATTGGTTGAAAATGGGACTCCAAGAGAATCTATAATGGATGTTTTAAGGGTAAGGAAATGAAATTTCACTGTGAACTTACAATTGTATGAGTTGGCAAGAGACAAGAAAAGTAATCATAAGTAGGATCCCTGGGTTGGAAGAGTTTAAGGTTCTTAAAAGGTAGGACTTCTCATCAAATACGTATACCCACTGTTGTAAATATTCTCACCATTAAGTTCAGAGATGAGAAACGGAATTTGATGTAGGGAGAGAAAGGGAGTTATAGAGAGAAAACTAGGGAGAGAGAGAGGGAGGACCTCATATGGACAATACCTTCTAAAGGGCTCAGAATAAATGAGGAGTTTAAAAAGTGTCAAATGGGAAATGTTGACTTACATGTGGTAGATCGAAGTACAACAAGCAAGTCATAAATCGGTGCTGTCAGGTAATCAGTAGACAGAGACCTATCTTTGTATAGGCCAAAGCAAAGAACAGACACTGATACAGGGTCCTGATGTTGAGGAGGTGAATGTGCAAGACTGTCCTGAGGGGTCTGAGATGTCTGTGAATGGTGAAGTCTATGACTATAAGGAGGACCCCTGGAATCCAGTGACATGAGCACAATGCAAGAACAAGAGCTTGGGAGTTTGGAGTTGGCTTGGGTTTGAGTCTAGGTTCTGCATTTCCTTGCTGTGTAGCCTTGGGTAAGCTCTTTCAGCCTCAGTTTTCTCATCTGTAAAATTGGAAATATAAAAGCAATTACTAGATGGGTTGTTATGAAGATTAAATGACTAGATGCATGCAAAGTATTAGCAAAGTGCTTACATCTAGTAAGCAGTAACTAGGTGTTAACTATAGAGTATTTATTCCTTTTATAGGATGATGTGTGATCATTTTCTCTGTTGGATTGATTGAAAGATACCTATTCCATAATTCATACTAAAATAAGAATTGCATTTAAAAATCCAAGTTGTTGTTGCTGTCAGTTGATGTTGAGTTGATTCTGACTTACAGCGACTCCATGGGTTACAGAGTAGAACTGATCCATAGAGTTTTCTTGGCTGTAATTTCAATGGAAGCAGATCACCAGGTCTTTCTTCCGTGGCACTGCTGAGTGGGTTCAAATCTCCAACCTTCAGTTTAGCTGTCAAGCACAGACTGTTTGTGCCCAGGCACCTTAAAAAAAAAAAAAAAATCCAAATAAAAGACCAAAAAGAAATAAATACAAAGGCAACTGATGATTTTTGTAGAATGGTTGATTATGATTATATTTTCTTGACTCTCTTTTCCAAATTACCAGTACTACAACTTTATTTTTAATGAAAGAAGATATTAAACTCATCTTTTCTTTATAATTGGTAAACCTGTGAGAAGAAACCTAAGACTAGTCATTTATCTCATTCTTAAAGTAAGTCCCTTTAACTTAGAGAGAGTGGTGTTGGCAGCCTGGGACAATTTGAGAAAGCCCATCAGCACACACTTACAGCATGTTCTGGAGCTTTAGTTCACTTACAGTTGTCGTTCACTCTTTTCTTGTGATGAGAAGTCTTCCTATTCTCTGATGAGTATACTTAAGTGAGAACTGAAACCTAGGCAGTACACAAATAAATAGGCCATCTCCTTAGGGGTGGGCTTTTTTCTAAATTAGGGGGACAGAGAGTGCAGCAGTTTAGGGGATAACAATAAGAAATGAACGATTTTTGAGTGCATAGTGCTCCTCACTTTATCAGGAGCCATCAGCAGGGCAACCTGCTGAGGTCAAGGAAAGGCTTTTATGGAAGTTTTAAGGGAGTAGTTGACAAAGGAGAGGGAGACAGAAGACTCCGGTGGAGAGGCAGAGGATGAGGCTGCAGGCTCAGGTAATCAGCCTGCTATCTTTCACGGATAGGATTTTCTGTAGAGAAGTCAACCCCTCTGCGGCGTTCCATAATTGCCTTGAACTTATCCCCATTTTTATAAAGAAACCCACCCCTGTGGCTTCTGCAGGGCCATAATTACAGTCTGTTGGCACATGCATTCAGAAGTCCTGCTTCTCTCACCAATGATCCCAACAATATCCAATTAGACATAGACTTCCTGGACCTGGGATGGGAGCATTCATCTGAAGATCATTTTCAGGAGAACAATACAAAGCCATTTTTGCAAAAGGAAATCCAACTGGTGTTTATAATTGGTTTACTTCTAGAAGTCTTCTGTATGACTGGAACCAGACTAATCCCCTAAGAGTGCAGGTGTACAGGACAAATTGCACATTTGGTGGTGGGTAAAATGGGAGAGATTTCATGGAGGGGCGCAGGAGCATAGCTGGGTGAATAATTGTAGTTTACAGAAAATGAGCTTAAGCCAGAAGATATGCATTTGTTGAGTTGTAATATTATTAATTGTAAAAAACCTAAAAATGATAATAAAAAAAAAATTGACAACTCAGAGGAGAAAAAAAAGAAAAAACTTTGTTTCTTCCCCCTTTGCTGCTGGGGAACACATTAAGGCAACATTCTTTTGAAGGATGGAGCCCTGGTGGAGCAGTCGTTAATAGCTACTGCTGCTAACCAAAAAGTCAGCAGTTCAAATCCACCAGCCACTCCTTGGAAACCCTGTGGGGCAGTTCTACTCTGTCTTATAAGGTCTCGGAATTGACTTGACGGCAAGGGTTTTTTTGGTTTTGCAGGACAGTATTTATGGGCACAGTGGTTGTCTTTTGGCCTTTTTCTTTCCACAGTTGTGCTCGATGACGTCTATGCACAAACCTGCGTCTGTAAACGTCTGTGAAGATGATAGCCTAGGAAACCCTACGGGGCCTTCTACTCTGTTACGTGGGGTCGCTGAGTTGAAATCGCCTCGATGGCACAACATGATTAGATTGGGCCCAACTGGATAATCTCAAATAATCTCCCCATCTCAAGGTCCTTAATCTTAAACACAGCTGCAAAGTCCCTTTTGCCATGTAAGGTAACATATTCAAAAGTTCTGAAGATTAAGGCATGAACATCTTGGAGGACCATTATTCTGCCTACCACACCTGTAGCAGATCCTTTTCACATGTAAACTCTTCTACCTTTTGAGGACTCTACTCCCCTTTTATATACTAAAATATTTTTCTAGGATTTATGTTTGTTTGTTTTTCTTGTATTTGTCTAGCATGCTTGTAATTTTCCTACAAGCAATGTGTGTACTTTCTTCTTGGCCTTGTTAATATGTACTCAGTCGTGTTGAAAACTTTAGATCTTAAGCTGGGAAGTTACTTTTTGTGCACTGCTGTTCTTGTGCTGTGGAGGGACAACCTTCCTCTCTCAGGTTGCTGAAGTCACTGTGGCTCCTTTGTCAGTGAATGCAGTTGAGATGGAGAATATCTCTTCACTTGTTCACTCCTGAGGACGTTTGTGAAAATATCTTCAGAGTCTTGACAGGTGTCCAATGGCTATTCCGTTTTTGTATATTTCTGTGTTTTTGTGTTTGTTTTTTAACGAGTATTTGAATGCAAAGATACGGTAGGAAAAGTCAATTGCTACTAGCTAGTTGATCTTTTGGAGTCCCTGGGTGGTGCAAATAGTTAACGCCCTTGGCTGTTATCTCAAAGATTGGAGGTTTGAGTTTACCCAGAGGTGCCTCAAAAGAAAGGCCTGGCAATATATTTCAGGAAAATCAGCCATTGAAAACATTATGGAGCTCTGCTCTGACCCACACGGGGTTGCCATGAGTTGGAGATGACTCAATAGCAACTGGTACGGGTACTAGTTATTAGCAGTCCATTGGATCAGTTGCTTTCTATTTTCCTTCAACATGCTCAGAAGCCCTGTTTATATTCCCTAGTTCTAAAAAACTATCTGCTTCTGGTGCTGTCAGTGTCACATTCCCAAGTTCTCTGGGCATGCTCGATCTTCATGGTAACCACATTTTTCATATGCCATGGTGATGGGAAGAATGTTTTGTGTGCCTGCTCTCTTGCTTTCAATGCATCTTGAAAACAGATCTTCTATTTCTTATGCAGAAAAATGCAGGAATGGTGCTTCTTGTTTGGCCTCATCGAACTTCTCCTAGATAGCAATAACCCGTTGCTGTCGAGTCGATTATGACCCATAGCAACCCTACAGGACAGAGTAGAACTTCCCAATAGGGTTTCCAAGGCTATAACCTTTACAGAAGCAGACTGCCACGACTTCCTCCCGAGAAAGACATGGTGGGTTTGAACCACCGACCTTTCAGTTAGCAGCCAAGTGTTTAACCACTGCACCAGAGCTCCTTTAGATAGCAATACCCCAAAACCCACTGCAGTGGAGTCAATTCTGATTCCTAGTGACCCTATAGGACAGAATAGAACTGCCTTTTAAGGTTTCCAATGCTGTAAATCTTTACGGAAGCAGACTGCCACATCTTTCTCCTGCAGAGCAGCCTGTAGGTTTGAACCGCCGACCTTTTGGTTAGTAGCCGAGTGCTTTAACCACCATGCCACCGGGGCTCCTTTAGTTCGCAACAGCCACTGTTGAATCACCCATGTCCACCACTGGGCAGATTAGGTTAACAAAAATATTTCTAAACTATAAGGGGTTCTACAAATGTAAACTGTTGTTACTAAAGTCTATTATTGTTATTACCAATGATATTAATAATCTATACTTCTGCTTCATTTCTGCCCTAGACTCACCTTGACATCCTGGAAAAAAGCATCAACCCCAAGCAGGTCTACTTCCGGCAGGACGTTCTCTGCCAGACTTTGGGAGGGAATCCATGTCCATTGGTGACCATCACAGCCATGCCTGAGTCAAACAGTACTGACCATCTAGAGCAGTTCCGTGAGTAAAATGAGGACCCTCTGCTTTGAGGATTTGACTAAGTGTATGCTTTACAGACTTGGAAGGATCCTATCCTTTTTAGGTCAGAAGTTTCATAAAAATTTGAGAACTTGTCTGTCCTTATAGAAATACACCCCAGCTCTTCTTGGTAGGAAACAAAGGGTAAACATGAATGTTGCTCTCTTGTTAAAGGGAGAAAAGAAAAAACTGCAAACTGTGGGGGATTAAATGACGTGTTGAAATTGAAAGTAGTTTACTAGTGACAGTTACTTCCTTTCCTAAAACAGAACCAGGACTCTGAATCACATTTTCCAACCTCTAATTCAAGGGTTTTGTACTTTGCTCACTGCCATTATACTCCAGTCAAAGTTTGGAGAGGAAGGAGGTAGAGTTTTAGAGTGCTGGCCAAAGAAGGCTTTTGATAATCTGAAGATCATTTGGAGCTGAAGGGTCGAGGGTGTGGAGAAGGCTCTTGCCAAGAACTGTAACACTCAACAACAAAAAACCAACAAATCCCCTTAGATGTTAGAGCCCTGTGCACAAGTATACGGGACACACAACCAACTAGCTTTTGAAAGTGGCTGCTGACATAGTTTCAGATCTCAGACAGGCAAGACAAAGCACACAGAATGAGGAATGCTTTGAAATACAGAGAAGTTTGGAAGATGGAAGGAAAGACTGGGGAATAAAAATGCAGCTGATTTATGCCCAGAAGATACAAGCTTATCTGATGAAGTGATAGCAGCGTTCAGGTGATTCTTTGGTGATACAGAAATAAATTTCTCACACCTCATCAGCATCTTACAATGGTTGCTTAACAACCTGGCTAATCAACAACTGATTATCCCATCTGAATTAACAAGGCCATAAAATGCTTTAATGAATAATAAGGGAATTTTCAAAAATTCTCCTATGCGTTATATGCATTTTAGAGCAATTTTCGTAAAGTCACCGAGTCCTCTGCTCAGCAGATGAGCAGTGCTTGGGAGTTAAAGATGGTAATTCTTTCAGTGCAGCCCTCACTGAACAATTATTTATTTAAGAAAGTGGATCTATGCAAATCTGTGCTTTTAGGTTCAGTTTCTAAAGAGGAGGTGAACAGATCCCCAGTGCATAATTTGTATTTTTGTTTATGCTGACTCTGGTGCTTTTGTTGATGATATAACTACAGAGATCATTCCTACTTTAACGAGAGGGCTTGAAACATGGTACAAGCCCCTAAATACTTTGGCACACTAGGAAATAGTTCAGCACAGTAGGAAATAGTTCAGTTAAAAACAAATGAGAAAAAATTTCTTAGTGCACTCTCATATGACTCACGGGAAGCTTGTTTCTGCTTGCTCTGTAAGATTAGTTATAATAAATGTATTCTCTTACTATTTTCTCTCTTAAACATATGCTAATATGTCAGTTGTTGTTCATCTCCAGAGGTAACCTGGGTAGGAGTAGAGAGGGCTCCTGTGATGGCCAGATGAGCACTATTCAATCTCCTCCTTGGCATGATGGACTTGCATGTAACATTCTTAGTGCTGGATCCCAAGGAAAATGAGGCTCTGGCCTAGATGAAAGGACTGATCAGGGCTGGCTTCGTGGGCATGCCACCTGTACAGCTGCACAGGTTCTGCATTTAGAAAATCTTCACTCTTGGTTTAATGCTCTACTGTCTCTATCTTGAAATTTTTAACAACTTTTCGACAAGGTCCTTGTAATTTTTTGCACTGGGCCCCTCAAAAAATGTAGCTTATCCTGGGACCCAATCTAAGATCATATAGCTAGGAAGTGGCAAAGTCTGGTGCCCTTCCCATGCTACGATCGTCTTCCCAAGTCACCCAAGAACAGTTCCAACCTATTTTGCCAACTTGTTGAAAATCTTATTTGAACAGAGTATATAGCTGATTGGCATCTTTCATGATGAGGGTTAATTTCAGGATGCCCATTTTACAGATGAGGTAAGTGGGGCTCAGACAAGTTAAATACTATGGTTAGTGATTGTCTTAGGCTGGGTTCTCTAGGGAAGCAAAACCAGTAAAGCATATAAATATATATATAGAGAGAGATTTATATTAAGGAGATAGCTCACCATGGTTGTAGAGGCTGGAACGTGGGTCAGGCTGGAGGCTTCTCCTGATTCATGTAGCCACAGGGGCTGGTGAACCCAGGATCTGCAAGTCAGATAGCAGGGCTCTGGCTCACAGGCTGTGAAGATCGATGAATCCCAAGATCAGCAGGCAAGATGGCAGGTAAGCTGCTAGCTCAAGTCCCAAGAACCAGAGGTCAGATGAACAGCTGCAGGATCCAACATGAGCAAAAGCCCTCAAGCCTTGCCAGAAAGTCCACTTATATTCAATGGACTTATATTCATAGGCCACACCCTCAAGGAAACTCCTTTTCAACTGATTGGCTACTCATAGCAGATCCCATCATGGAGGTTATCACATTATATCAAATTTCATCATGGAAGTGATCACATCATTGTACAACTGCCAAACTACATCATAACTGCCAAACTACTGAGAATCATGGCCCAGCCAAGTTAACACACAACCTTAATGATCACAGTGAATGTACCAGATTTCCAAGCTTGTTATTCTGATTAGAGAATCCACTCATCATAACAAATGTTCGGCATCACAGCTGTGGCTTCACTCTGTGAGCGAGAACTTTCCATCTTCCCTGTTTTATGTCCTCAAATTATTAGAATCTAGTTTATTTGTTAAAGAAACTCATGCCAAACTGACCACAAATGAATGTACTACCCTCTCCCTCCTCACAGTGAAATTTTCATTTTCCTTTTCTAACCCAGTGAAAGCATTTCAGGGTAGACGTTTCAGGGACTGTGGTTGGAAGGGAAAAGAGGAGATTCTTTTGGCCCTAATGCCTTTCCTCAGACCCCTCAACCCCAGTGCAGAGCTGAGATTGCATGGTCTGGGCCCTAGTGCTGGGAGCAAGGTCTCAAACCTGCTACAGAGTAAGAAAAATTATTCGACAGGCTGCAATATATACATGAACACATGCTATTGCTATGTTTCTAAAGGAAACAAAAAAAAAAAGCACGATGTGAATACCATCTACCCTCCAAAATGCAGTTAACCACACCAGAGACTCAGAAATACAACCATTTAACTCCCTTTGAACCACAGGACGCGATTCATTGATTTAGGAACAGAAAATAGCAAATGAGCCAGAAGCTCTAGATTCTCCTGCCTCCAGGCCTCCCTCCAGGTGAGCTTAAATTGTCTTTTACCTGCTCATTTCCTCCTAGGGACCAGGTCAGCTCCAGTGTGGGGTTCTATTTACCTACAATTCGGTTGGCTTCTGGTTCAGGGACTACTGCTCACCCTCATAAGGAGGTTTTTGTGCACTATAAGACCTTCCTTCCACGGTGCTGGATTAACCCTTCAGTCTTATTTTAGAAGCCCAAGAAATAAGAAGCCAAGGTGCCCAGGGAGACCTCTCCTGCTTCAAGACTGGTTACCACGTGGTCTGGCCTAAAGTCTTGGCCCTGGAGATTACCGAGAACAATTTATTGATCATTTTAAGTCTTTCCCAGGACCTGGGCTCCAGAGAGTCTCTCAGAAACATTTATTTGGTTTGATTTATTTTTCTAAAGCATTTTCTTTAAAAAAAACCCCCTCAAGTTATTTTCCTGGAAACATTTAGCCTTGCTTCTTCAGTGCATATATTTTTGGTTTTGTAGTGGCCAGATTTGCCTGGTGTAGACTTTATCATGACTTCGAGAATCCCACAGTGCCCCCAAGTGAGAGGACACACTTTATGCCTTGAGATCCCAGGCCTCAGAGTCAACATGCTAGCAGATCTCAAAGAGCAGCACTACTCTGCCCTTTTCAGTGTGACAGTGAAAAGGGAAGTTCTCTGAGAAATTATCACCATAGCCTTTAGGAAAGAGATGGATTTGAGGAGAAGCTGATGATAAAAGGGAGCTGATACAAAAGATTAAATGGCTCATCCTAGCCAGGGGCATATTAACCAGTAAGCACAGTGTGCACCAGCTTACTTGTGTTTACTTACTGATCTGTAGTGAACAATTTCATCTCTGATGTGGTGAAACCCATGTGAAATGTGTTCACTACAGATTAGTAAATGAAGAGATTGGGTAATCTGGCCCTGTCAGAAACTCTGTAGTGATGGACTGTGAGACACGGGGAAACTAGGAAGTCCAGCCCCTTTTTAACTAGGAGGATTCAGGATATGAAAGGAGCCCAGGATGTTGGAGATTTGCATAGCAGAGAGTGAATGAGGAGGAGAGTGGAACAAAGGCTCCAAGAGGTTGGAATGAAAGGCTTCAGATGAATCAGTTTTGGGATAAGGTTTGGGGGGCAAGATCAACCCAGGAAATTGTTTCTAGTACTTTCAAAGACTTGTCTCCATCACTGTTTTCGATTAGTGGTATACTGGTATAATTACACTTAGCCCAGTTAAATCCTTTAACACATTATATGTTAATAGGTACTTTGATTAGCAGGTGCTTTGAATATGTGCCTTCCAAGCAAAGGGTGGAAAAGTTATATTTTCTTTTAGCTTGTGTGCTTTTTAAGAATGGGACGTGTGTGTGTGTGTGTGTGTGTGTGTGTGTGTGTGTGTGTTGGGGGGAGGGCAGGATGAGATCTGCTTTCTTGGATTGGAATTGAGAGAAGATACTGCCTTTAAACATAACTAAGGAACAATTTGGAGTCCCTGGATGGTGTCAATTGTTAACATGCTTGGCTGCTAACCAAAAAGTTGGAGGTTCAAGTCACCCAGAGGCACTCAAAAGAAAAGCCTGGAGATCTACTTCCAAAAAATCAGCCATTGAAAACCTTATGAAGCATAGCACTACTCTCATACATGGGATTGCCATGAGTCAGAGTCAATGGCAACTAGCAGTTAAGGACCAACTAAGAGTATAAAGAAAACCTTGGAGGTCATTATTTTCCCAAACCCCAGTGTAAGTATGTGAGAGAAGAGTGGTTCTACCTTTTCACAGGGCCAGCATTCTCCAA